CCACCCGGGCCCACGTAGCCGGGGGACGTAGCGGAGCCCAGACTCAGGCGGCCTTCGCATCGAGCCGGATCCCCTCAGTGAGCCGAGCCGTCTCAGCCATCTGCAACCGGAGGCCGGAGTCTCCATGCATGGTGGAGTTTGTCGGGGGCCCCATGCGCTGGCGCTTTGTGGAAGAGGACTTCCTAGAACCGGAGTCGCCAGCCAGGCGCCAGGTGCCAAAGATGCAGAGTCATCAGAGTCGCAGCCAGCCGAATCTGCATGACGTCACGATCGCTGCCGGGTGGGGTGAGAAATCGGAGCGCGAGCGAAGACTCGCCAAACTCGTTTCCAAGCTAGGATATTGCCCAGGTTTGCCGAGACGTGGCTTCGAATCTCGATTAAGCAGCTTCCTTCCGGCTGAATTTCGAGCGGGTTCCTTCAGCAACTATCGACCGAAGCCTCCACCGCAGAAATCGAACTACTCTGGAGATGTGAACCTGGAGACCCGGCAAAACCTCCGCATTTTGGAGCTGCCGCCAGATGGTGACCGGCTGGTTCTCCGACGCTGGGGTCCAGGATTCTTCGAGTTGCCACCCAAACCACGTTCCCCGGACAGTGCTCCGAGACGGGCCGAGGAGCCAAAACCCTTCCCGTCCCACGGCAATCCCTCTCCTGACGTAGAGTCTTCCTTGCCGTGAAAGTCGAAGGACGAAGCCCATGGAGATGCGACAGCTTGGGTTCCGAAGATCGGGCTGGCTGCGCACCGCTTTCGCTGTTTGTCGAAGTAGACGGAGGGAGGTGGCAAGGGGGATGTCTGCATTGAAGAAAGAATGTATCTAGGTTTCTTCGCCAACGATGCCATCCGAGTCTGTCCCTTGCCTCCTCCCTTCGCGGCCGCATTGCTCACCTTTGTTCAAGCCTTCTGAATTCCCTAACTTGGCCTGTTACTTTGAGAAAAGGTGATGGTATTGCTCAGCCTCAGCTTGTGTTCGGCATGTCTGCATCATGCAGTGTTGCAGAGGGGTCGAACATGGCTAGTCGGAAATGAAAGCGCCTGTATTCAACAGTCCATCTGCTTCAGCAGCCATTCCACTTGTGCAGGCTAGCCAGAAGCTGGCTGGATGTGCTGCCCGACCAGCGTTCCAGATCAGTGTCCAGAGCTTGGCAACCGGTGGGGCGGTAAGCTTGTTGTGGATGTCATACCGCCTACTGCAACGACCATCCGATACCATGCACCTTGACGCAGCCATGCGTTTTGTCCGTGTTATCGCTTTCCTGAGATCTCCTCCCGGATGATTTCCGTACCCATGTTTCGCAACTCTCGGGTTCATCCACCCGCCGAGCCTGATGTCCCGATGACGCCCAAGCCCAGGACCGGCCGCCTGAGTATGCCCAAGACATCACCGAGGTGGGCCTCTGGAGTCCTGTTTCAAACGAGCTGTTGCCACCAACTGAGCCTTTGCATCCGGGGTGAGTGCACCAAGCCAAGTTTGTGTGTACAAGAACACCCAATGCAACGAATGCAGCACTCCGGAGCCTGAATCTGGAACCCAAGCCCCGGCGCCTAGGCACCTTTTGTCTGGAACAAGCTCGGCTCTTAAATGCTACCTACCCACAACTTGTCCCAGAAGCCTTGGTATGCAACCTCTCCAGAATTGATGTTGAGAAGCCCTCCCCTTCGTAACAGAGGCCTCCAGAGCTCTACATTGAACCGAAAAGCCCTGAACCGGGCTCTTGTTAAGGAATCTAGTTTAAGTTACCGTAACGATCTATAGTAGTAAATAAGGTGGTTTCTGTATCATGGTAACTTGAATTACATCCCTTCTTCATTATGGTAACTTGAATGCCATTCCTGAGCAAGAACCCAGTGAAGCCCTGAGAACATCTGCTCCTGCGAAGGCGACCTCAATCCTTCTCGAAGATCCTCAACAGGTGCGCGTTGTCCGCTGAAGTTCAGGGTCCGGCGCAGAGGCTGTGCATGCAAAAATCCAGCCGTAAAATGCAGGTGACGCAACGATGTAAAAAAAAACAAGAGTGTCGGTGCCCGTAGTGGCTGCACATTTTGGCGCCGTGAAGGCGGGGAGAGCTGGTTTGAGGGCGAAAGAATGAGCACGGCCGGTGTTCTGTACCCCGGCGGTCCGGTGGTGCAGCCGCCAGATCTCGAAAGCGTAGTGAAGGCATGTGGCAAAGGCGAAGGCACCACTCTCCTGCAAGGGTGCGGAGCCCTGGCAGCTGGTGAGACAGCTGTGCGTTCAGCAGCTGTTGGGAGCTGCAGCGACCACATGGACGTGCACATCACTTCCACTTGCTTTTGCAAGACGACGAGTTGGAAGAAGCTCGAGCGGTATCCGGTGGCTGCCGAACTGTGACGTGAAGGCGTTTGGCGAGCTGGTGTGCTTCGGAGCCCATGGTGATGGTCAGCGCGACGTGCCTCCCGACCTTCTTCCAGTGGTGGTCGCGGCTGCCCGCGGCTATCACACCTGTGCCGTGAAGGCGAGTGTCGCGCATGGTTGCTTTGGCGACAATGATTCTGGCAGTTCTAATCCCCATGTGGGAGGGGTCACAGGGAGGTTGTACTGGAAGCTGGTGCTGAAACGAATCTGCAGTATCGTGGCATGGCTGCTCCTGTTCGCACCTGTACCCTTTGCTTCTTGAAGTTGGTGCTGACAAGGATTGCCTGGGAAGTGGTGGCAAGTCAGCCGTGCTCGCAGCTGAGGGTGGGCACTTGGAGGTCGCACACGGCTTAAAGTTGGCGCTGAAACGGATTTCCAGAGAAGACCATTGCAAGATTGCCCTAATGATCAGATCTGAGCTCGGTCGCTCGGAGATCGTGCAGTTGCTGCTGGAAGGCTGGTGTTTGACAAAGGTACCGAGACCTGGGATCCAGCCCTCGTGCTCGCCGCTGAGACGGGCCACTTGGAGGTTGTATGTCGGCTGCACAAGCTCGTGCTGAACCTTGCGGTGGAAGTCGTGGCAAGACCGCGTGGCTGGTGTATATGGTCGCAGCCCTGAAGGGTGCGAGCTGGCGGGGACAATGAAAAGCCAATTCGATGTGTCGCCAGGTTTCACGGTTCGGCTTGACCCGCAGTCCAAAGCAGGAGGTGCTGCAGCCCGGTTTTTCACAATTATGATTAAACTCATTATTTTTATTAATATTATCATACTTATCCTTATTACTATGTCGAGGACAATTTTTTTTAGAACTATGGTTAGTATCTTCACTATGAGCCTCCGTGCCGCAATCGTAGCGGAACAGGCAGCATCCCTCCGATCGTAATTCAGGCCAGGCTCGAGTTGGCTCGTAGTTGTGCAGATGCCACCCAGGCCGAGCTTGTACAGCTGTGAGCGGTCGGCCCTGGAGGGAGAAGTGGCTGGGTACCTGCAGCATGTAACTGATAGTAATTATTGTACTTATATCTCAGATTATTTTTTGATTTTACATATCATATCATATCATATCATATTGGGATCCGCGATCGCAGCAGCTCGGCCTGTAGCTCGTGACGGCGCGGAAGCGGCAGCAGCTCGAGGAGACCAGAGGAAGATCTTTCGGTGCCTCGCGCCTCGCGCTGCTGGCATCGTCCGAGCGCCTTTCAGGCATGGCACCTGTTGAGATTGAGACCCTGCGGTTGCGTCACAGGATCATGTGAGCCTTAGGGCTTCGGGGGAGCCTGGTGGGAGTGCTGGTGTGTCGGCAAACGAGCAGAATACCTAGTTTCAACATGCATGGCAACAAGCAACATCATCAACAACGCAAGAGATGAGGCGGAGTGTGTTGGTGATGAGCGCAACGCAAGGACTTGTTGCAGGCCAAAGAACATGCCGAAGAGCGGGCTGAGGTGGAGGAGGAAACGAAGCGGAGATTGACGAGCGGGTACCCAAGATGAGGCCCAGGCTGAGCAAACCTGGTGTGCACGAGCCGTGGTGATAACGTCATCAACGACGGTCCTCGGACTTGGGCGTTGCAGGAGGTGGTGGTTCGAGGAGCTCATCGCAGACGGTGCGGGCGTGGCTCGGTACCTGTGGAAGCCCCCAGGGTCTTGGGTCGAAGTCCCAAAGTCATCATGCAGCTCGAGAAGGAGGTGCTCTTTCGGAGCGGTGCGAGCTGAGACAAAGAGCGTTTCAAAGCTCAGGCCGAGTCAGGCGCGGAGCGTGGTCGGATGAAGGTTTTGTGGAGACGGCCACTAAATGCCACTAACAAGGAGCATTGAAGAAAACACAGCAAGGTGTCGTCGAGGTGGATGTGGCTAGAATGGGAACACTCGGGTGACGACATGGCCTCCAGGCCTGCAGGTTGCCCTGAAGGAGGATCTTGGGTAGTGAGCATCCAGAAACTGTGGCAGCGCAGTTCAAGCTCTGCCAAGCGATGCTTCAACGCTCAATGCTGTGCCACCTGCGAAGTTGCTGCAGCATCTCGGTGTGCTCTTCGAATTCAATCGCAAATCTGATGGAACGGGCCTCTTTGTGGGTGCCCGTTGGCACGGAACGCCCATGCCAACCACAGACACGTTCAAGTTCCGCCAGCTGACCGGATCTTTTTGAACGCGAGAAAGCTCGGAGTTGGGGAAGCTACATCCATTCAGGTCACCAAGAATCTGTGCACAAAGCCACACAGGGATGCAAACAACCAAGGGTCAAGCTGAATCTTCTTTGGTCTTGGAGATTGGACGGAATGCGTCGAGACCATCCGCAGCATCGGGCCAAAAGGCGTGGTCTTGCACGGATTCAGACGGGACATCTACACCCTCCGGAAGTTTGATGGCACCAAAATCCACTGCTCTGTCCCATTCAGAGGCTCTAGCTATGCCAATTTTACTGCATGCCATCGACAGGCCCTATCACGAGACGCCCTCTGTCGCTTGGGCTCTGTAGATCCGTCTCGGGTTCAATCTACCCCTGCACAAGTTCGAGGCAAGCATTCGTCCGGAGGAACTTGCCAGGGCTGCCGTCGAGGGCAGACCAGTGGCAGATGAACCTGGACGTCGCAGGCCGCCTGCAGGTCTTCGGTCGCAGCCGTCGAAATGCCCACGTCAGGGGGGCAGGAGCAGTGGACACATTTCGATGAAAAACATGAGATCACCCAAGCGCAGTTCCTGAGTTCGCGACGTGCTCGCCAGCTGCTTGCGGAGGATGAGGAACTTGCCGGGGCTACTGTTGAAGCCAGGCCAGTGGCAGAGGAACCTGGACGTCGCAGGCCACCAAAAGGTCGGTCCAGGCCACCTCGCATGAGGATGCTGAGGAAGCCGGGGCGGAGCCACGGGAGCCTTCTGGTGCCAGGCCGATGGCTCTTCCGATCCTCTAGCCTGTCTCTGGCAGTAGCAGCCACCTCGAATTGCAGGAGCTGTGGTCAGATTCCGATGTGGAGACAGTCACAGGAGCACTCAACAGGCGACGTCGCAGAAAGGCTTGGTAAGAGCGACGAGCACAAGACCTGCCAAATGTCTAAGAATGGGCGTGCCGCCGGGGCGTGTACTGCGCTACGGCTTGCGGACACTCGATGGTCGTGCTCCAGTGGAAGACTGGAAGGGGAAGATTGCCCAGACTACGCCGAGAAGGAGTCAGGCCCTGAGTGCTCAATAAGATTCAGCGCAAACCGCCATCACTGATCAGCGCAAACCACGCATTACTGATCAGCGCAATCCTTGCTGCAAAACCACCCGTTACTGATCAGCGCAAACCACCCACCCTGGCTGCAGTCCGAGAAGAAAGCAGCCTCGGTGGAAGTCACACAGCAAACATAGTTGATCCGTGTGAATTTCAAGTCCAGGGTGCGGAAGTAGTGTTCAGTGCAAAACACCTGCCTTAATCTGGAGGCCGAGTCAGCTTCCAGCAGGTTTCCGGACGGGGTTTAGGCTGCCAGACCACGACTTCTGAAACCAAGTGCGGCAAACCTGAAAGCCCTAAGCCCCAAAGACCTGAAACATTAGATGTGTGACTTATGTTATACGATCCTTGTTTGTAGTAGCTTGTCCTGACTTCCTGTGCAACCGCCAACGGACCGAAGTGAAGCCTTCTTTCATAGCCCCGGCAAGGTCTTCCCAGCAAGTTGCTTCGAACGGCACGATGCCGACATCCTGGTCACGAAGAAGCTGAAGAAAGAGGTCATGCAAGTGATCCAAACCCCCCCCGACAGCCGGCGCCAGGAGCCTCCAGCAAATTTCACACCTCGGTTCAGGTCTACTTCACGGCTTGGCTCAGCTTGTCCCAAGCCCTCAGACTTTCCCAAGTCCGGCTCTGGTGTCCTCCGTGCAGCTTATCTAGATTTGCAGATGCAGGCTCTGCGGAGTTCCGAGAGTCCCAGGTGCCGTTCTTGAAAAGAGCTCGAATTGCTCCCTGCAAGTTTGCTGCGTTTCGCAGGGCATTGCCGCTGGAACTTGATGCGTTTGCGAGTCTTGTTCATCTGAACAGCAAGTGCGTGCAGCACTTGCGAGTTAGAGCAGACATGGCCCTCGCAACTCTACTCTTCGCAGGCATGGGAATACGGCAATCGATTGTCGGGGCCTGTGAGCTGAGACTGAGGGATTGCTACCTCTACAGGCTTTAACGATGGGTCGTCTGTGTATGCTGAGATGGCCCTGGACCCAGGAGCCCTGAACCAACCGCTTGTCGGTGTCCTGCTTTTGTCGAGCTGTTGGGATTTGTTGAAGCGTGATCTGCGGTGTCTAGTTTAGGGTAAAAATGTCAGTGCAGAAGTTAAGTTTGGGCGGTCCGGTCTTGGCATCTGCTGTTCGTTTTCGTGCTACAGGCTAGAATTCCTGATGGACACGATCACTGCAGAAATCAAGAAAGCCAGGGTCTCAGCGAGATGAGTTCCCCAGGCAAGGTGTCAAAGCCTGTCGGATCAGAGATCGTTGCAGTGGTTCGACGTGAATCAGACCAGAACCGGTGCCGTCGCCCCTCGTCGAGGACGATGTCGCAGCAGGAGATGAGATCATCTCGGCGCAGAATGGTGAAAAAGGTTTGGAACTGGGCCGCTGCGGAGTGGAATCTTTCACCAGAAGTTCATGGTGACGCATCGACGGACGAGCGACGGAACGGGGACCCAAAAAGCTACCGAGACGGACTACAGCCGAAGGACAAATAAAGACAGATGCGCTGACAGGCTGCATGGAACCCTTGCCACGATTGACAGTCTTTTGCGTCCGAGCTCTTTCGAAGCAGAGAGGAACATGCCGGCCGGACAGGGATCAGCTTCCCAGAGAGCCCAATACCCTCAAAATCATAATATGAAGCCCTATATAATTTGAGCCATATTCCTTAATTAAGGGGTATTGGGCTCTCTGGGTTGGTGCACTTCACAACCACCAGCCCGGCTGACGGAGACTGGGAGCAGGAACTTCGATGCTACGATCCGCAGCATTCTTCGCCGAGATTGTCACGTCCTGGCGAGGACTTGGAGGATCATGGGACTTAGTAAGTAGGTAAGGTTATAAATAAGGTAACTATACTTATAAATACTTATAACCCCAATTAAGGTTCTTACAACCTTCCTAAGTCCCAGGATCCTCCAAGCAAGCCAAGAAGGGGAAGGGATGGGAAGGCTCAAGGCCATGCCTGTGAGGGCATGGTGCCCAGAGAGCCCAATACCCCTTAATCAAGGAATATGGCTTAAATTATATAGGGTTTAGGGTTTAGGGTTTAGGGTTATTATGATTTCAGCTATATTCCTTAATCAAGAAGGGGTATTGGGCTCTCTGGGCGAAAGGAGGAACGCCGCTTTACAACGAAGGGTCGACTTGCGCACATGCGAAGGAATCTCGACAGCCATATCCATAGGCCCCATAGCAGTTCCTTTTTTGAGGATTACCTTATAGGATTCTAAATATGAACCCCCAAAGGGAACTACTATGGGGCCTATGGGTAAACCAGCGGTGAAAGGCACCTTATCCGCTGCAAGCAATCCGAGGCCAGGCCCTACGATGTATCCATGGCCAGATGGGCGTTTCCGAAAGAAGGGGTACCTTATTTGGGGTCCTTATAATAAGGATCCTACCATTTAGGACACTGTATTTGGGTCCCCTGTTTTCGGAAACTCCCAGATCGGTGTCCGACAACTTAGGAAGCCCCTTCTTACAGGGAAGACTCGGAAAGCGCAATCGAATCTCTGCGACGTAAACCTGGCGGCGGGGCGCAAATCGGTGCTTGCGAAGCAGCAGAGCGGGTTCAGAAGATGGAGGCCAAGAGGAGGTAAACCCTAAACCCTAAACCTTAAACCCTAAACCTTAAACCCTAAACCCTAAACCTTAAACCCTAAAGAGCACAGAGGGGTTTTTGGGTGCGGTGCTGTCAGTCACTGCTTGTGGGGTAGCCGCAGAAGTTGATCCGCTGGTCTGTTCCTCAGATGTTTCGAGCAATGCGCCGTGGCTAAGGTGAACAGAGCGAAGTTCACAGCTTTGCCTTCATGTCTTGTGACACAATAGATTCGATCTTTACCCCGCATTTACTGCTGTTGGATGAGTCTTGCAATTTGGCAGCGCCAGGTGAAAGCACAGGTTATTTGGGAAGATCTCATGTGCGAGATCAAAGTTCGGGTTGGCGCCCCTGCGCTGTGCAGTGCCATGGAAGCGTAAACCACGACTGAATTCTGAAGCGAGGCATATCAGATCCCGGAGAACCGGGTTGTCTTTTTATTCCAAAGGCTTGGAGGTGATAGCTTAGCCTTCAACTCGTTGTGGCAAACTCAGAGATGAGCACGTGCCTGTCTCGCAGGAGCTAAAGCTGTCGAGTCTCCCGAGCTGAGGTTCCAATGTGTTAAGAAGCTCCTCTTGGAGGGAGATACTGCTTCTATCTCAGCTTCCCCTGCGTGCGTACGGCACGAAGGCAGAAGCAATCGCTCCTAGGAGCAGCCAGCCCCCGTGAGCTTGCCTGCACCTTCAGTTTCACAAAAGGCCACCGGCAGAGAGGCGGCGTCACTAGGCCATGACTCTCCAGAGCTGCAGGACCCTCAATCCGACCTGCAATCAGACATGCAAGCAGACCTACTTACGCCCGTGATCGATGCCGCAGCGACCTCACATGGGCCCTTCAACAACCTTCCCGGCTTGGCGGCATGACAACTCCGCTGCCCCAGGCCCACAGAGCCGAGGACCCCCAAGCACAGGCACCGGAGTCGAGAAGGGAAGCTTCTCTGAAACATGGCTCGCTGCGGGTGAATCTCTAGGGGTGCCTCTGCGTTCTGCTCCTGTTGCTGAGGTGTGCCCGCTAAACCCTAAACCCAATGTGTCAATTTTAGAGTTTGATTGCGGCCGCCGAGCTGTTGATCTTGGTGCTGTTGCCCTAGCAACTTCAACTCGGCCCTTACGCAGGCGGAGGCTGCAGCTACCATGGCAGCTGCAACCGACCCCCAGGTCAGAGAGCCGTAATTACAACAGTCGCTATGTATACGACTACTTGTTTATGATGATACACACATATATAAATATATATATATATATATATATATATACACACACACACACTTTTTTCATGTGATTCTACTTGTTCATTTCTTGCTGCTGCTGCTGCTGCTGCTACAACTGCTGCTGCCGCTGCTACTTCTCCTGCTCCTGCTCCTGCTACTGCTACTGCTACCGCTACCGCTACCGCTACCGCTACCGCTACCGCTACTGCTACTGCTGCTGCTGCTGCTGCTGCTACTACTACTACTACTACTACTGCAAGTGTCAGTGTCAGTGTCAGTGCTACTACCAACACTGCCGGCACAACCACGAAAGGGCGAGGACGACGACGGCCACGACGACAGCCATCAAGATGACCCGACGACCATGGCGACGACGACGACGAGGACGACGACTCCCACAACAACGACCAGCACCATCACCAGCCACAGCAGCATCATCAGCAGCTCAGCCCCAGTAGTCCACAGGCTCCGAAGTCTCTGCTCCGGAACTTCGGAACTTCATGGTGGATACTTTGCATTTGGGAGCTCACGTTTGGGGCAGCATTGGGGCAGGGTTGACATCTTCTGAGGGTAGGATCGGGCAGCATTCTCAGCACTCGACGGCCACCCAAACCGCTGAAACTTCAGGTTCTCAATCCCATCCGCACACATAGCTTAAGTCCACTATCCAAGCTCTGATCAAGCCCTGAGCTTCAATCCACCTGGCGTACGCGTTCCGAACGTGAACTGCGGACAGAAACGGCTCCACCGTGAGATCTTGAGCCCTGAGTTTTCCAGGACACCGGCTCTGTGCAGCGGCTCTGCCGGGCGCTCTGGAAGCCGCCGTTTTCGCTTCTCCTCGGGCTTGCGGCTATAGGTAAGCAGATCCGACTAGGAGCCAACCCAACTTTGAGGCAGTCGATGATGATCATCATATTGCACAAAAAAGATTGATTAGAAGTGATACCGATACTAAGTCAATCTGCGGCGGTCCGTACGCATGTTCGTGGGGTCTCCAGAACCTGAACACATCTGAACCCAAAGATTGTACATAGACAACTTCTCACCACACCCTGCGCCGGAACTGTAGACTGCGACCAACCTGGCCACAGCTTGGAGAGTCCAATCAAGGCAGAGATGATGCGAAATCGGCCATCCAGAAGCTCCTCGAGGCTGCCTCTGGCCTTTCTGTGCGCAGCTGCGCCGTCTCTTTGCTGCTACACGCGTTGGCATGGGCATGGGGGTTTGCACTGTCTGACGCGGTATCTTAGCAATGACATTGCCCGTCTCACGAAGACGGTCACGTTCATGAACCAGGTGCGAAGCTGTCCTTATCGCTTTCGCTAAGCACGACTACGCAAGGGCATGTGCAGGTAGCCGTGTTGCTGCCGTCATACAAATCAGGGCTGAGCAGCGAGCGTGTTTCCATCCTTCACCCCTTTCTAGGCCCTTCTAGGATAGGCCCTTCTAGGACTAGGGTTTTGTTGACGGACGATGATCGACATGTGCTCAGGGGCTTCCACTGGATCCTTTAGGGATGCTGGAGAGCCGGTGTTAGGGTTTGAGGTTTTCTGCGTTTCGGCAGCGAGCAACTGTGAAGGCTTCGTCGGAGTCTGCTCACAGGTGTGGAAGGACAGGTCTGCCCCTTCGTCCCAATTATGCGACAGCTGTGAAGACACCCGGGCCTCTGCAGTACAAGGCCAGTCAGACACCAGCCTTTGAAGGTTTTCGCAAGTGGTCCCTGCGGGGAAACAGGGTCGGTCGGACGGGCCGATCGGTCGTGCTTGCATAGGCCCCGGCCCGCTACCACCACTACCACTGAAACTACCACTCCTACTGCTGGTACTACCACTACTACTACGACTACTACTGCTACTACTACTGCTGCTACTACCACTACTACGACGACGACGACTACTACTACTGGTACTGCTACTGCTACTGCTACTGCTGCTGCTACTACCACTACTACTACTACTACTACTACTACTACTACTACTACTACTACTACTACTACGACTACTATACTTGAAGTGCTTCATGCCTTGCAAGGGAAAGATGTCAACGAGGCCGCTCCCGATATGGGAGTTTCCGCAAACAGGGGACCCCAATACAGTACCATTTAAATAGTAGGATCCTTATAATAAGGACCCCAAAATAAGGTACCCCTTATTTCCGGAAACTCCCATCTGGTGCATCTTCTTCGACAAGACCTGCAAGCTGACGCACGGGAGCAATGGCCGAGAGAGAACGTCAGAGCCGCTTTCAGAAAGGAACAGTGGCCAAACAGAGGGCCTCTCAAAATTGACCGTCTGACGGATGCTGACGGAAAACATGTCTAGCTCTATGAGAAACGGTTAGGCGCTGCCATACGGCTCGGTGCACGAAGCAGGGATGCCATTTAAGACCCAAGCTGGGCCGTGGGTGTTGGAGGCTGCGGAGGCGAAGCTGATGTTGTGGGGATCAAGCAGATGGGCAAGAATCAGCGTCAGCTTGGCCAAGTTCTTGCAGGTAGTCAGGCCAGCTTGAGGCCCTCAGTGGGATCATGAACGACAAGCTTCAGAAGCACTTCTTTTTCGACCGGGGAAGAGGAAACCGTGACGACTTCACCGTGTTCTCGAGAACAGACCGATTGCGCAGAGCAGTGGGGCGTCGGCCAGAGAACTGAGAAAGACGTGCTCGTGAAGGACATCTGCGGTATCTGGCAACAGGGTACAGCCTTGCCTAAGGTGCTGAAGGTGCCAGAGTCCTTGGCAGAATCCCCCTCTTCTTCGGGACAAGCTACTGCGACAGGTCTTTCGAGCCACGCAGAGCGGAGTTGACGACGTCAAGCGGCTGAATGTTATCTTTAGGCCCCTACAGTATGACTCCTTACGAGGACTGCTGGGCATCACATCTAATGTTATCTTCGCGGGACTTCGGAGCGAATTCTCATCCGGATGCCTCGAGGACCTCGACGTCAAAACGAAGTCCGACCCTGGACCAAACAGATTACAAGCAGCTGTTTGTCGGCTTTTCCTTTCGGTCGACAAATGAGCAAACTTCCGCGTGGCAAGGACATGCTTTGGACCCAAGAGTCTGCTCAACAGAGCCAGACGGAAGATACTGGTAGCCTTCTGCACGCCATCGTGAACGCTCTTCAACGATTCCTCTATGCATCGTTTGGAAGTACAGCATAGGCGTGATTCTCCGAAATGGAAGCCCTGCACCGTAAACTGCAGTCCATGATCCCTACTTGGAGTCTCATGGGTAGTTATAAGTAGGGTTATAAGTATGGTAACTATGCTTACAAGTCATATGTAGGGGACTTATAACTATGCTTATAACTACGCACGAACCTCCAAGTAACTCCAGGCATCCACAAGCCTTCAATCAACCACCCCTTTGTAACGAGAGGCAGCTGCGGTCAATAGGCTGCAGGTGGATTCATGCTTTTGTGAGTCCACCACAGGCCTGCATGCGTCACGGCTATCACGGCCAGAACCTGTACAGAGTCCCACCGCATTCGGGCTTATCTGCATTCTATAGCTCTTCCGCCCAGGACCTTTCAGCTGACTTGTGGTTGGAGTCGATCATAGGTCATACAGGGTGGGGTTTACCGAGTACTGACTCGTGGGCTGGAGACTTTCTCAACCGCGATTCATAGGCATGACCATTTCTGCACAGTCCGCTTTCTCGGCCTGGGCCCCCGCAGCGCCAAGCTTGGGGAGTTCGCAATGTAGATGGCTTCGGTCCACATCTGGGAACAGAAGAGATGTGCAGTCAACGCGATGCCCCCGTGGGCTCTTGTTGACGGAGGCATTCGAAGGCCTTCCTGCTGTACAGCTGCTGTCTGCAACATTGCGTTTGAACAGACTTGCTTTCGCGTTTGGCAGAGGCGTTGCCATTGACTCGGAATTGGATGCTGCATATTCAGAAGTACTTGACGATTTCATGTGTAACACATACACAACATCGTGGATACGAGGTTTCTTTCGAGCCGTGTGAAGCTTATCCCTGTCAGTTTCTGTGGCCATCGCAGCATCCCAGAAGGCTCTCAAACCACTTACCTTTGGTTAGTAGGGAATGGAGGAATGGGGTACAATTATAATTACTATTACTACCAGTCTTCCATTCCCTACTAGCCAAAGGTAAGACCGCCAGTATCTGTCCAGTCGGATCCACAGGTTGTCCGCTCCGTCGGCGCTGTAAAGCCAGGATCCGAAATAACTCCCCACATGGGAGATTCCGATACTAGGGGTACCTTATTTTGGGGTCCTTATCATAAGGATCCTACTACTTAGGGTATTGTATTGGGGTCCCCTATTTTCGGAAGCTCCCATATTAGTGTGAGGAGAGCCGCAAAGGCAGCCCTCAACGGCGGCCATTGGCATTTGCCCTCGTGCTGCGAAAAAAAATCTGTCGGGTTTTGAGCAATCGATCCTCCTGCGTTCGATCCTGCTGCGAAACCATGCACAGCCCAACAGACCCATCCCAGACTTTCCATCAGGTAAACTGCTTCGAGGTGTCGTGCCACGTGGCGGCCCCAGGAAGTCCTGTGACAGAAGCGCGCAGCGGAGCTCTCCGGTGCTCTCCAGTGCTCTTCAAATGGAGGTTGTGCGATTGCTCGTGAAGCTGGCCATGTCTCCAGGAGCCGAGGTGCTTGAGACGGCGAGGGTCGTCCTCTCACGCTCCCAATTTTTCCCAAGCGCCAAGGGTCTGGCACACTGGTTTGCTTTTCGTCCTGGCAGCTTTGAAACCCTGGCCCTAAAACCCCCAATATATTAGGGTTCATATAAGGAACCCTAGTAAAGGCCCAAGGTTTCTTAATCGGGTTCCTACATTACTCGGGTATGTTGAGTTCTTGTTTGTCATGACCGCATCCTCACGGGTTCTGCACCTCCGCTAAAAGCGCGTCCAAGGATGGGCTGTTGTGGACCGAAGCAGAGAGTTTTCGCGATGCCTGCTAGGCTCTTTTTCAATGTCAAGGTATAATGGAGAAGGCTCGCTTGCGCTTTCTGCTTTCAGCGGCTTGCTCCGGTTTCGCAGGCAGGTTGTCGATGGAGGCTCGTTAATCGCTGCCCTTGTGAGGTGTGGCACCTGGGTACCAAGAGCATGTGGAACTTTCAGAGGCATGGCGAAACAAGGCTAGGCAAGGGCGTCCATTACCGGAGCACCATCGACTTCCGAATTACCGATACAGGCTCAGGGACCAGCTTATGCAAGTGTTGGAGCGAAGCTCTGGCTTCAAGTTGGGCCGCAAGGCGCGTGTGCGTGTGTCGACGTTTCGGCGCAGTAGAGGACTCCTATGACCTCCATTGACCTCTCGTGGCTTGCCAGGGGTCGGCTCTGTCTGATTGTGCAGAGGCTTCGGGAGAGACGCGTGTCCTGTAGATGGAACAGGTTTCTGCCTCCTGCAGGTGAATTCATATGTCAACCACACTGGGGCCGGTTCCCTTTCCCTTCGCCAAAGCCTTGCAAAGCCGGGTCCTGCCGCTGTTCAGCGCTGCGAGGTTTTCTATGAGGAAGCTCCGCACATCTCAGCAGGCTGCGTCTGCGAGCGCAATGCAGCTGTCGCAACCGCATGTTTTTGGATTGCGGAGGTCGGCGGTGAGTGCAGCGGAAGGGCTTTCCAAAATTATGCAGGCGCACCATGTGCAGACGATGGTGGTTGATATGGCGAGTTTTGCAGTAAGTAGTTATCCTTGTGACCGAAGACAACATCGGTCTGTTCCCTCAGCATCAACCCGGGCTCTGCTTGCAAAGAGCCATGCTTTCATCCCTCGAGTGACCTAAGATACTTCACGGAATAGTGGCGATGCTTGCTCTAAAGGGTGTACACCCAGTTATATTGAACATGTAGGGGAGTCTGTATTTTGTCTATCCATCCATCTGTCGATTTGTGCTTTCGTTTGTTTATAGACTTATCCAACCAACTATCCGTCTGCAGTTCTCGCTGTCTATCTGCCTGTCTCTCTCTCTCACCTGTCTGTTCGTCTATCCGTCTTCCTAGCTGACTAACTGGTTAGCTGGCGGGGCTGCTGGTTGGCTGGATGCCTGTCTCTCTGTCTGACTGTGTGTCTGTCTCTGTGTCTGACCATCTATCTATCTGTTCATCTCTCTCTCTATCCGTCTATCTATGTACGCATCTATTTTTCTGCATACCTGTATGTACCGTATTATATGCAGTCCAAAATGTCACATGTTGTTGAAGTGTGTCATATTCACATCATGTTCTCCTGTGCTACGGTGCAGCACATTACAGTACCTTTCATTGGAGTACGTGCCTTGCGTTACAGTACATGTCTACTGTCTGACCCTACATACGGTTGCTGATATACATCCTGCATAACCCATAATAAGGCATATGCCATAATTCCCAAAGTTTAGGGTCATTAAGGTAATGCAGGATGTATTATCTTGTCCAGTCGAGTCACGTCCAGTCTAGGCTAGTCTAGCCGAGCTCAGTCAAATTGAGTGCAGTTACAGTCGGAGTTGTAGTTGCAGTTGCAGTTCTATTCTTCCTTCTAGTAATACTTGCAGCGTGGTGCGAATTTTGTCACAGTTTCCGTTCTCGTATTACACGTTGGTATAGTGTAAGCTAGTGTAGTATCGTCTTGCATCGTATTGTCTGTATGCTACCGTATAGTATCGTACAGTAGCAATAGTACGGTATACTATCGCATAGTATTGTATAGTCCGGTATAGCGCCGCATAGTATCGCGTAGTACAATTCAACGTAGCATAGTATCGTGGGGTACAGTACAGTATAGTCAGTAAAAATTGGGTTCTCTGTAGTGTAGTACGGTCTAGTATAGGATGGTAACCAGGATGGAGTAGCGCAGCAGAGGATTGCAAAGGAGGATTGCAGAGCATGGCGTGGCAGGTTATAGCATAACACAGCATAGCACACCGCAGAGCTAGACATAGTCTAATGCGGTTTAGTCAGGTATAGTTGGAGTACAGTGTAACAAAGTATGGTGCAGTCTAGCATAGCATAGGGTAGTATAGTACGGTAAAGCCTATAGCAGTAGTGTCTAGTCAAGAGTAGTGTAGCGTAGTGTAGCGTAGTACAGTATAGTATAGCATAATCTGATCTAGTCTAGTCTACGGGTAGTACAGCATAGTAAAGCATAGCACAGAACAGTACAGTACGGTACAGTGTGGTATGGTGTAATTATAGTATGATGGCATGCATCCCCCTGCAGTTTCTGGAATGTGGCTTTTGCTGTGGCACCAGACAGAGGCGTGGCCCCGTGAGCAGGGTGTGCTCTTTTGAGGATTTCCGCGTCTGCTTGACGGCGCTGCTAGGAGTGTCAGCATGGCAGATCGTATAGTATACTATCCTACAACATAGTATAGGACGAATTCCCACAAATCCTAGGCTCAGCACGTTTGCCTGCCTCGTGTTCGGTTTTCAGTGTGTGAAGGAGGGGAGGGAGAGTCTTGTCACATTTGCGGCCGACGGCATGAGAGAAAACCGGAAGATCCCCTGTTTTGCTGGTGCCGGGCGAGTCGCCAAGGAGTGCCTCCTGTTCAAGTGAAGTCTTCATGCCCGATCAGGTCTCAATGCAAATTAAGGACTGGCAGGTGACCTGCATCTTCCTTCTTTGTGTTTATTTATCTGTTGTAGCAGAACTGAGACTACTTTGACTCGGAGCGGTCTCGTGCTACGTCACATGGCTCTTGGTAGTGCAGAGCAGCATCAGAGCTAGTCGATGCTGACTTGCATGCCACTGATGATGGATGCCTTTATATGCAGTCAAGTGCCCCGTCATGACGAAGCGCAGACCCTCTTGACAGTCTTCCGTCAGCAAACATCAATGGAAGGCTCCGACAAGGACAAAAGACACTGGCACCCTAAATCCTAAACCCCAAACCCAGCAAAACGTTGCTGCGCATGACATGACATGACATGCAGTGACGGGAACCAGAGACTGGCGGCAGCGGAAGCAGCGGCTCTAGAGGACTTTCTTTTTGATCTTTCCAGCGCTATGCCCACGGGGGTAGATGCAAGCCTTAAATCAGTGGCTGCGATGGACAGCTACGTTGCTGCCAGACTCCAGTTGTGCTCTCATTTCGGCCAGTTGCGCTCTCATTTCGGCCTATTTCCTTTCGCTTTTCCGCATGAACGCACCCGGAATCTGACTGGCACGTCAAGCATGTGCAAACCTGTATGCACGTGATAGGTGTGCTGGGCGGTTTTGCATACGAAGCAGTGCCCCTCTGTACAGCGTGCACTGCCCCAGCGATTGGAATGGTAGGCGCAGCGAGAGCGCGCAATCCAGAAAAAAGTCCAGTGTCCTTGGCTTCGGCCTTTGGCAGCCGTGACACCGTGAGATGATTCCATTTTAGGCACGTGAGCACGGAAGCAGTCTCTGATGCCGGCAGTCGGAACGAGCAGATGCAGCAGGGTCCGTTCGGGAAAGCTAAGAGCAGCAATATATTCTCAAGCTTCCAGTTTCCTTAAAAGATGCTAGACAGAGCAAAGGAACCAGTCGCTTCACTCTTTCAGTCAGATGGCCAAAGCCCGTGGCTCCCGGGACCAAGCGGTGAGCCTTCTGAAGGACTGACTTTCAGGGGATGTGAAGCACATTGAGGCGAGTAAACTCTAGGCTGATGACCCTCTTCTACACCCATGTGCCCCAAACCCTACACCCATGTCACCAGATGAACAAGGGCAATCGAGGAAGTGATGGTCATGGTCTACGGTGCATACTGAGTTCGAGGAAGTGTTTCGTGCCTTCTGCCACAGCGGATTCTAAAGTCTGACTTCAGGCGGACGAAAAGGGCGCTTGAAAAGAAAACACCCATGTCACCCATGTCTGGTACGTACAGGCCCAAGGGACTTAGTAAGTAGGTCATAAGTTCAGTCATAACTACCCTAGATGGAGTTACCCCAATTACAACCCTACCTATAATCTACTTACTAAGTCCCCTAGGCCTCCAAGTATAGTATAGTACATTATAGCAAATTGTTATAGCATATTATGGTATATTTTGTAGTATATGCTAGCCCCTAAACCCTGAAACGGGTTATAGAACCCTTATAGATCCCTTTTTGAAGAGCCCTTTAAGGAACCCTCCCAGGAACCTTAGTTACTAAGTCCTCTGGGTAATGCTTGAGGAGCACCTGGCCGGTCGGCTTGGCTCCGATTGCAAAGCTCTGATCGATGCCGAGGCCAGAGAGACCAGGGCTGCACATATATATATATATATATATATATATATACATATATATACACACACATATATGTGACTACAATACTATACTATTTGCTATATACTATATGACTGTATTGCTATGTTAGCATGTTACTATATTACTATACAGACTATACATGTAGGTGTGTGTGGGCATCCGAAGCAGGTAGAAGGTCGCCTCCAGGGGCGCACCAAGCTCGAGCGCGAGGCCCACCGGACGCGGAGCTGTTGGTCCCATCGCTTCGCATAGAAAGGGCAGAATGTCGGGGGCCTTAATGATTAGAATAGGGTTTTGGGGGTTCCTTATCATAGTTATGGTATAATATACCCGCAAACCCTATTCTAACTATTGAGGCCCCTAAATCCTAAACCCTAAACCCCAAAGAATCATCGACGAGGACCTCGATGCCATCGAGCGCTCTGTGGCGAAAGCAAGGCACCGGCTCCGACCCTCACTGAATCATGGCTTCCCGAGCCTAACACAGGAAAACTCTGAAACCCTGGCAGCACATTAGCCAGGAGGCAGCGGCGTGGAGGGAAGGAGCTGAAAGGTTTGAGCAGGCTGGTGGCGGCTCGGGCTTAGCTGTTCCAGGGTGGCAGAGCGGGGCTACGCCTGCTGACGTCCGGAGAGATTGAGATCTGAGCGCGAGGGCACTCATATCCGACAGACCCATTCTTGCCGCAAATCCGAACTTCTGTGGCCGCAAGGGCTCAAAAAATACCGTTCACTCGCAGCCCGGTCCACGCCTTCGATGGCAAAGCCGTTCGGCTTGTGTTCATGCTCCTGAGGAGTGCCAGTTATGCTTGTACTTGCCAATGCAGCAGCTTTTCGGCTTGTTGTCGTTTGGCATTTTGCCGAGTTGTTCATGTGGATGCTTTCTTGGGTGTTCTGATTCACTGTCGGTTCTCATCCTTGCGTTGTGACGTTCATGGTTATCTCAGTTGTCTCCGTTGGTATGAATCATCATCATCATCGTCGTAGCCACCATTACCATCATCATTACCATCACCAGCACAATCACCACCACCGCCACCGCTACCGGCACCGCCTCCATCGCCATCGCCATCGCCATCACCATCACCATCACATCACCATCACCAGCATCACCACCATCATCATCATCATCATCGTGGTCTCATGCTCGTCAGAGCCGCCATCAGCAATGCGTTTCATCAGTGCAAAGGTCATCTTGTGCGAGTTGCTTCCGTGTAGCAGTCTGACGGTGGCCTAGCGTCGAGATCGAAGGTATGGCCTCCTCTCCTTCAGATTTCTGGCCTGTTGGCATGCACTAAGAAGCCTCGCACCTGGGCTTTCTTGGGCTTCACAAGTGCTTAGGGCCGCGAGTTTTCGACTATTTTGTCAGGCTTTCCTTTCTCTTGTCGCTGAGGTATGCGTCCAGGCGAAGAACTCCACATGTCCGGCACAAACTTCAGGTTCACTAATGCTGCAAGCCCGTCAAAGCACCATGAAGTCGCAGTCGCAGCGTGCGGACGGCTTCATGACAATGTGGAGCGACAGTGCCACCACGATCGTCGGAGGCTCGTGCGAATATGCCAATTCTGCGAACGGCGGGCTCGGGTCGCCAGCTGCATCGAGCCCTTACATAGCCTCTGAAGGCTACTGCGCAGTGGACAGCACGCTTTACTCCTCGGGAGGGGCCTGTGGCTCGTGTTGGCGTGTCTCCTACGACGGGAGTACTGCTACCGATCCGGGTGTGCCCGGTAGCATGGTGGTCCAAGTTGTCGACTCTGGGAGCGCGAAGACCTTTGACTGCCACTTGACGGCGTTTCAAAGAATCACAGGGGCTTCCACTGGAGTTTTTCCGATAACCTACGAGCCTGTCGACTGCGACGTCGGAAGCGCTGGGCCTGTGGCGACGGTGCTCGACGGTGACAATGCCTGGTACACGAAAGTGATTTTCTCAAATCTGGTTTCTGGCGTTTTGAAGGCTGACCTGTTCTTGGGGGAGAGTGCCTTCACAATGAGCAGGGTAAGTGGCGCCACCTGGTCGGCCAGCACTGCCGGGAAGAGAGATGCTGCTTCGTTTGCCGTGACATTGGACACAGGAGACATCATCGCTTTCCGTTGCTTTGATTCCTGGCCAGTTCCAACGGGAAGCTCTTGCACAGGCCCTTCCGCTTCCACAGCACGACCCACACAGAGTACCACAACCACTACGACAGAGATTCCAAGCACCACAACTAGAACAGAAGATTCAACGACAACCACAACCCTCACGGAAACCTCACTGCCAGCTTCCAAAGTTTGGAGCCCGGTAGATGGTGGAGAAGGCCGTGCATGCCGGGGAGGCTTTCCTGGAGATAACTCTCCCAGCTACTATACCGTTACCATGGCCCAAAGCTTGGAGGCTTGTCAGAAGGCCTGTGAGCTCAGGGAGGAGTGCGTCGGCGTGGAGTTTTCGGGAAGCCGATGCGAGACCTGGACACGGAGCCAGGGTATCCAGAGCAGTAAAGCCCTGTCCAACTTTTGGTGCCTCTCCTACTCTTTGCCCAGACTTGGTCGCTTCGAGCCAGTGGACGGAGGCCGTGACCGTGCCTGTCGGGGTGCCACACCGGCAGACAATTCTGCTTTGTACTACCGGGTCGTCGGAAGCAGCTTGGTTTGACATGAAACACCTTTCAGCAGGGAGGTGGATATTTGCTCGAACTCAGGGTGCCCTGTCTCGGGTTCCTAGCTGTCAGGTGGATGTCCCAGCACGAGGCTAGAGAAAAAGGAGAACACATTCGCTTGGACCTGAGCAGGCAGTAGTCGTGATCGTCGAAAGCAAAACAGCATCAGTTCCTGGTTCGCGATATTAAACCCTAAGCCCTATAAGCCCTGTAAGCCCTATAAGCCCTATAAGCTATAAGCCTTACAAGCCCAAGAGCCCAAAAGCCCTATAAGCCGTACAAGCCCTAAAACCCCATAAGCCCTATAAGCTCTATAAACCCCCTAAGCCCTAAACCCCTAAGCCCGAAGGCCCCAAAGCTCCTGAAGCCATAAATCCTCCCTGCAGTCCAATATCCCTTAACTAAGGGACACGCCTTAAATCATATTAGGGATCCTACTCTAACTTTCCTTAATTAAGGGATATTGGAGTCCCTGCAGTCCTAGGCATCCGGAGCCTGGAGCAGTGTCAGTCGCAATGCTGGCAGACGGAAGGATGCCAGGGGGTCGAGTACAGCAGGGGCCGATGTCTGGGCCTCGAAACCAGGGGTTTCTTGAACAGTTTGGGGTTTAGGGTTTGAAGGTTTAAGGCTTTTGGGCTTACTGCAGGGGTTTAAGGTTTAGGGGTTTAGGGTTTGGGTTTTATTGAACAGGCTTGCCAGTCTATACGAGGGTCCTCGGCTTTGGGCTTCTTTTGAGGCAGCAAGCCCTGCAGCGATCGTTTTTGTTGCGGGTGCTCATCGCAGGGTGTAAGAACAGTAAGTTGAGATTGTGTACCCCTAAACCCCAAGCCTCAAACCAGAAGCCTAAACCCGAGCCTTTAGCCCTAAACCCCAACCCTTAAGCCCTCAACCCTAGCCCAAAGCCTTAAATCCTAAGTCCTAAACCCTTATAGTACCCCAAAAGAGCCCTTAAAGGGACCCTTAACTCCCTGAATCTGGCGGAGCTCCATCTTCGTCCGCAGGTGAAGTCTGGACGCGCCCACAGGGCATCCAGGCGAGCATAGTGCTGAGCGGCGGCTCGGAGAAGGGTGCTGAGTAAGGGCTCCTAAACCCTAATTATATTACATTACAGTATATTACATTATAATGCATTATATTACATTATAGTACATTATATTACACTATATTACATTGTATTACATTATATTGCATTATGTTACATTGTATTACATTATGTTACATTATTTTGCATTATACTACATGATATTACCGTATACTGCAGTGTGTTGCGTTATGTTGCATTGTATTGCGTTACATTACATTATACATATACACATATTATTCAGATTATAGTATATCATAGTATGGTATCGTATACCATGGTATATTGTAGTATATCATCGTGTGCTACGGTACATTATAGTACACATCGCATATTATAGCATAATACGTTCTTGCAGCCATGCTCTCAACGCTAGACTACTGCTCTCAGGCGAATAATAAGACCGAGGCTTCTAAAGCTCCGTGATGGCTCCAAGGATTCTCCTGCTGGCGACTTGTGAGAGAACTGGCCCAGACCTTAGTTGTCTCGCTGTTCAGCACAGAATAATACCGTTATTATTGTTCTTGTGGATATTATTGTTTTAACTGTTATCATTGTTTATTAATGTTATTGTTCTTATTATTACTACGCTTCTTCTTATTGCTGTTGTTATCACATTCTTGTCGTTTCTATTATTTTGTTTATAACTGCTACAATTAATAGTTTTTGTAATAACAGCAATAATAGTACAAATAGTCATAATAGTAAAAAACATTAACATTATTCTACATCCCACTGATTCCACGCATCCTCGGGCCCCAGCCAGGGTGCGTGTGCCGAATTTGCAGTCGGAGATTCTGCGGCGTCGCAGTCCACGGCCCCTGGCCCCTCAATGACTCCTCTATGCGCCTTCTAACCTTCACCATTCCATGTGGGTTCTGGGGGTAATATAGTTTATATATCCTTATTATAAGGACCCCAAGATACTGTACCGGAGCTTGGGACTTGGGGATCTCGATGGCTTCCTCTCAGGAATCGTGAGTGGAGCCATGCCGTGCGACCTCCAGGTAGTAGCTGAGCCTCCTGCAACTTCGGAGGACTTGTACAGCGGCTGCAAAGCCGTTCACCGTCGCAAGGCGACTGCAGCTGGGAGGTGCTGGAAAACCGGCTGCCCGTGCAGTTTTAGTTGTCCCAGAATCTTACAGCTGGCGAGAGCTCATAAACCGCGAGAAGGCATCTGTGTAGAGATTGCGATGCCGCTTGCACAGCGAGCTATGAATTGTCGCCCCCCCAATTCTGGGCACAGCGCGTGGAACTGTGGCGATGCGTCGGTCCAAATGCACAGTGCTTGCACGTCCCACATTCACGCCCGTTGTAGACCATGCGCAATTCTGGAAAAAACTGCATTGCAGGTCCGTGCCTGATCTGAAGGCACCTCCAGGTGGAGAAGGTCACAGTGGCTCCTCTGCAAGGCCAAGCGCCTTTCCGGTAGATACCCTAAAGCCAAAACTCCATACCCTACACCCGACACCCTAAATCCTAAAACCTATAGCTACGCTGAACCCCAAACCCTAAAGCCAATGGGCGATCGGTGCTTCCTGCATTCATTCTGCTGGCAGGATACGGCCGGATCCCTCAGGCCTGTGCTGCGTGAAATATGCCATTAAGCACCCGGAGACTAAAGCAAGAGAAGTCAGGTCCAAGCGTTGAGTGCTGGGCTTCGCATAGATTGCCAGTATCGGTGCGGTTTGGCGTGCCTCCTTTCCGGGAACTCCGAGTGGTTGAGAGCCTGCTGCTTTCTGCCCCCTTCCGGTTCAGGTCTACACAACGATTGTGTTAGGGTATTGTACCTAATAATAGGTACTATTATTGTAACGCGATCTTATCACCAAGCATTCTGACCCCGGTATTACGTTCTCGCTGCAGGCAGCATCGGTCGGAGTGCCTCAGCAGCACAGCTGGCCAGGACGGGTGAACTGCGACAAGATTTCGGCCGTTAGAAGCCTGCTTCGGAATAGCAGCAGCCATCACTGCCAAAAAGGCTGCGCTTTGTTCAGTAGCTTGTGGTGCAGACCCGTTTTCGGACAACAAGGGTTCTGGTTGTACGGCGCCCGCACCTTTGGCTTCAAGCAATCACGCCTTCATCCCCTCTCGCAACGACAAAGCAAGGATCTAAGCAAAACTCCTCGACTCTAGACCCAAGAGGTCCCACCAATATGGGAGTTTCCGAAAATTAGGGGTACCGTATTTTGGGATCCTTATAGTAGGGATCCTGCTATTTAGGGTACCATATTAGGGTCCCCCATTTTCGGAAACTGCCCTATCTCAGCTTCACACCTGAGGGGTGGGTAGTGGACTCTTCTACCCTAGGGTCTCCCCCGGATCTTCGGGGAAGGCGCAACTCAGAAGAGTCCGATTTGGAGGACAACTCCTGCGGCGGACCAGGCGACTGCCCCGGCGAACCCGAAGAAGGCGCCTTCCTGCCATCCTTCCAGTGTAGGGCTTAGGCTTTAGGGTTCGGGTTTAGGGGTTTAGGGGTTTAGGGGTTTAGGGTTTACAGTAAACCTCATAAAGTTGGAAACCGGATTAAGGCCAAATAGTGCTGGGATTCCCTACATATTACTCTTAGGGATTGAGGCTATTGGGTTTCCAACTTTTCGGCTTCTACTGTAGGGGTTCGAGTTTAGAGTTTCGAGAAGAGTTGTTCGTTTTCCGGCGAAATCGGGCGTTCCACGGTTTCCAAAACCCCGCAACAAAGGTGTGTCGGGGCCAAGCGCGTAGAATGCATGCCTCCTAACAGCCTCGAGAGGCGTTTCTTTTGGCATGATGACTCAGCGAAAGAATTCAGATGCGGGGTTTGGCTTCAGATGTCATGCTTCGGTCCTTACAGAACTATGCTGGAGCAGAAGCCGCAAGCGCACAAAGCTGTAATATAGGAGCCTGATTAAGAAACCCTAGCAGTAGGAGGGTTGTTTACATGGATCCCCCCCATATCCCGGAGCCTTAGATTCCCAACTGTCCGAACTCTGAAGCCCTCTAAACCCATCCCTAGCGCCGAATTCAGGCACGCCCTGAACCCTAAAACCCAAAGCCCCAAGCCCTGAACCCTATGTACCCTAAACCCCTAAGAACCCTAAGAGCCTGAACCCTAAACCCTCGCAGGCACGCCGTCCGGCCCCCTACGCCACCTCCGTGATCCCCGAGGAGGATGCCATGAGCGAGCGCAGCTGCGTCGAGGTGGTACGGGGGCCCTTAACAAGCTATAGTTATTAAAGCAGAAAGGATAAACAATGTAATTATAATCCGGGACCACCAAAGTAGTATCATCTTTCCGCCCCTGTGGTGGGTCTGCCTCGTCTTTCTCCTTTTTTTGAAGGTCTGGGACTGGAACTTCAGGTTAGTTAAGGTTTTGGGTTTGGCGCCGTTGGGAGTTTTTGCTGTGTTTTAGGGGTCAGGGGCTTTCGGAACCTTTAGGGTCTTGGAAAGTCTTGGGCGATCAGTGCTTTGAGGTCTCCAAGGGGCGTCTTTTGAGGGTTTCAGTCTCGTGAGTCGTGGACCCGGGCACCTTCTGCTGCAAGCCGAAGTTCAAGACTTTCAGGGTCTGGAGCTTGCTTGGAGGATGGGTGGTTATAAGTAGGGTAACTATACTTATAACAACCCATATTAGGGGACTTATAACCCGACTTATAACTACCCCTGCACCCTAAACCCTATACCCTTATAGAATCCCTATAGATCCCTTTAAGGACTCTTATATCCCTACTTATAGCTACCTATGAACTTCCAAATAGAGCTCAGGGTTGAGGGGTTCTGGGGTTTCTGCTGCCACGCCCAGCTTTTAGAGTTCGCTCAGCTCTGCGACCATGTGCCCATGACTCCCCTTGAGCACGAAGTTCCGATTGGACTTTGCACTCCTGGGTCTGGGGTTCGGAATTGGCGTCCATTCCCTCCGTAACTACTTGAGCTTCGGTTAAGACACCGCGCATAGCCTAAACTTTCCCTAAACCCTAAGACTCCGTCATCCGAAAGTGCCGTCTTCCTGCCTGGAGCCTGGGACGTTGCAGGTAAATCCGAAGCATCCGGTGCCGCTGCCGCCCAAGCTGAAGCCCATGGATCACTGGGCACGGGGCTGAGAACACAAGGCCCAGACCCCAAACCCTCCCTTAGCTTAGGAACCCTAAGGGCCCTGAGAACCCCAAGAACCCGAAACGCTAATTCAGGAGTCTCGCGGTCTCGCGTCTTGCGTAGAGGTATTGGAGGTGTGCGGTCGGGCGCTCCCCGCCAATTTATTGCGTCGCTCCGCGGCGTGCACCCAGAGTCCTGCTTTTTGGGCCAGAACGTGGCCTTTTGCGATCCTGTCTGGCAGACGCTTCAATAGAGCCACGCGCTGACATTCAGGATGAGAGCTGCCAGATTGCAGGCGAGGTATGATATTAATATGATAGTAATATGATAGCAATATGGTAATGATACACTAGTAATAGTAGTTATAATTCAACCCGGGTTCGGACACCTAAACTCCGCTCACAGTGAACAGCATAGTTTCAAACCCCTCGGCAGACAAAGGACCTTATCGTCGCCTTTGACACCCACAAGTTCCGAAAGGAATACGAGGCCTACGTGAAGGCTCACGTGAGTTGTGTTCCGCCGCCTACACGGCACGGCAGTTCTAGGTCTTGCGGTGCTAGCAGTTTGGGTGCTTTCGGACTGCGTTGGCTCTGTGTCGGTGCTGTGGGGTTGCATGAATGGGCCGATGATGAGGATGGACGGAAATACAAATAGGTGGAAGTGTATCTACCAAAATTCTTTCGCATGCCATGCCAATGGCTCAAGGGCTCAGGGCTCAGCTGCAGATCTAAGCACTCGCACGATCACCTGGCGTCATGGTGAACGTCTAGACCTCAGAGCGTGGTGTGCGGAGGCAATTGGTCCAGTCGTCCTGACCATTGCAATGTGTGAGGCTTGTATCCTACTCGCTCATGTGTGCAGAAAGCTACACAATACGCATACCTGTACAGGTAGAGCCATGATCGCGACAATACTTGCGGCCTGAAGCACGCGAAGAAGCATTAGGTAAACCAGCAAGTGAAAGATTTCTGGTCAGAGTGACATGGTTACGTCAGTCAGAGTATCCTTACGTCCTTATGCTCATACACATACATGCAAGCATGCCGGAGTACCTGCCTACACGTACGTGCGCACACACACACACACAGTAAACACGCAAGGCGATGCTCACATGTAATCATATCCATGTAAAAAACATGGACACTGGCTAGCGCACAGAATATGTAGACAAACAGATGACCAACCGGAGACATACTTCCACAAGACTAGTCAAGAGCAGCCGCAGACGCTTTTTTGTTAGAAAGCCGATGCCGAGGCAGCCCCGGAGAATGAGACGAATGAGGGCAACGAGGCCAATGAGGTTGAGGTGCCAGCGGCGGTGCCAGCAGCGGTGCCAGCGGAAGTGTCAGCAGGCACGGTGCAAGCCGGGTACGATAAGCCCGAGTACCCTGACATCTTACCGGGTTGATGAACCCCTAAACCCCTAACCTCTAGACCCCCAAACCTTACACCCTAAACCCTATACCCCTAAACCCTAAACCCCTAGACCCCCAAACCCTACACCCTAAACCCTATACCCCTAACCCTAGAGCCTCGACCCAGAGTCCTTCAACAGGGAGCTCACCAGCTGACCCCGATGGGAGTTTCGGAAAATTAGGGGTACCATATTTTGGGGTCCTTATAATAAGGATCCTACTATTTAGGGTGCTATATTAGGGTCCCCTATTTTCGGAAACTCCCAGATGCCGCCTCTCGCACCTCGCGAGGTCCATCCGAGCGCCTCCCGCCTCGCGCCAAGGGGGAAGCAACCATAAAACAATGTGTTGTACTTGTAATTTGTAGTATAATTTAAGATGATATAGTATGATACAACTTGATATAGTATGACATAGTACGATATAATATGATATAATATGATATGATACGAGACAGTACGGTTTAAAATAATGGAACAGAATAGAATATGCTATAATGTGATATCAAGTAACAGCATAGTACAGTATAGCACAGTCAAGTACGGTATAGTACAGTATAGAACAGTATAGCATAGCGCCTCTAGTGTAGTATGTATGCATATGTATGCGCAAAGTTGGATGTGCAGTTGGATTCGATATGGCTAGACCTCGTGGCAGCACATGTGGGCTGTGCCTGCACGACTGCATAGACAGCTGCATGCCGTAATGGCTGCATCAGATGTTCTGCAGGTATTAACCCCGACTGTCTTGATTTCGCCTTCTTCAACTTATTCACGGGCCCTAAACCCTAAACCTCAAAACCCTAAACCCTAAAACCCTAAAGCCTAAGACCCTAAAAGCCTAAAGCCCTAAATCCTAAGGCTGCAGCTTAGCCGCCTGCCGGCTGACAAGCTGATGAAGGTCCACGAGGCTGGTTCCAGGAAGACTCAAAGCATCCTCTTCTGTGCCTGCACGACACCTACACGTTGCTCTAGAACACCTAGTAGTAGTAACAACAGATATTATAACTACAACAGTAGATCTTATACTTATAGTTGTAGATATTATGATTAGAATAGTAGATGGTATAACTGTAATAGTAGATATTACACCTGTAATAGTACAAGTAATTGATACATTAAGTAGTCCTACTAGATCCCCATGGAGCCCTAAACCTTTCAAGACCCTACTGAAAAAGTCTGCCACTGTCAAAGGCGTTGATGCAACTCCAGGAGGTACGCAGGGTTTCCGCTCCGATGTGTCCGAGGATTGTGGTTTAAGGTTTGGGCTTCGGGGTTTGGTTTTGGTACGGTTGATGATATAAATCCTGCATTACCTTAAGGTCCCTAAGCTATGGGAATACTGGTATATTCCTTACTGTGGGTACTGCAGGTTTTATATCATCAACTGTATGTAGGGCTCGCGTTTGAAAATTGGGCTTTTTGGCATCAGGGTTTGCAGTCTGGGCCTTTTCTACGGTCTGAAGGATTTCCGGTGCAAGGTTTCTATCTCTCCAATTGTGGGCGCTGCTTTGCAGGGCTTCGGGTGAGCACCCCTCCGCCCTTTCCAGGGGGTGCTTATGTACAGGATCCTACTATTCCTAGCTCTCTCAAAATGGGGGTTCTAAACTCTAAACCCTAAGCTCCCACCTTCTGCTGTTGTAGAGAGCCAAGCCATACACCGAACCCGGCAAGATCCGGAACAAGCAGGACTTGACATGGCGAGAGTCGAATGTCCTTCAACAGAGTTCGTTCATGTTCTTTGGAGCGTAGGGTGATTCTGCAAATAGCCCGGCATCCGGTATACAGTCTCGATTGCGATGCCTGGGACGGAGAACTTCGTGGAAATCTGTCCACCCCAACCAAAGCAAACGAGGCCGCATTCGAGGGACTCAGAGATCTGAGGAGAAGGCAAGATGTCCCAGGTCAGAACGTCACCAGATCCCCAGACGTCTGACAAGAAGAGCCTTAAAGGTTCAACTCTGTATCAACCCCTCTCCCAACTTATCTATGTACACGATGCAAACCAACATAAACAAATCCCTCTAAAGGCGTCCGTGCACCCCCTCCGAGCTACTTACCACATCAAGACAGGCTGGTCTAAAATGCTACACCGCTGAGTCTTCAAACGGTTTAGAGTTTGGAGTTTAGGATCTGGCTCTTCTGAAAAACACACCTCCTAAACCCCAATCCCTGAACCATCAACTCCAATCCCTAAACCCTAAACCCTAAACCATGAGCCCTAGACCCTAAACGTTTTTGAAGGCCGGCCTGAGCGAAGTCCCC